AAGAAAGAAAGAAAGAAAGAAAGAAAGAAAGAAAGAAAGAAAGAAAGAAAGAAAGAAAGAAAGAAAGAGAAAGAGCAAGCAAAGAAGTGTCTTGGCATGGAAGATAGCTGGAAATGCTTTGAAATACAGATCTTCTTTATAAAAGGAATGACATACCAATTCAGGATAAATAGGGATTCCTATTCAGAGATCATACTTATCTTGATTTTTCTTTGTTTATTTTTTTAAGTTTATTCATTCATCTGATATTTTTATCAGACTTCCTGCAGGCTTGATTAAATGAGTCACTTTTGAGTTTTAAATCCTGCACTTCCTTTCACCCCCAAATGAAGAACCACTTAATTTTATGTCATTGTTGGAATTAAAACCTGAGATAACCTGGCACCAACATATAGACGGTGAGAAACACACCTGCATCAGGACCTGCACATGTAGGTGTCATCTCGAGTGCGTCTCTGGGCCTTATGCACCCTGTGCACACATTTCTGAAATTTTCCAGCACATCTGGCTTCTCAACATCCCTTCCCCCTCATATGCATGATTTTGCCCCCTGGACAATTCAATTTAAAAAGCCAAAGCCTGTGCTTGCTACAATTATTGAGTTTGTTCTTTTTTTTAATTTCTCATTATGTGTCTGACTTCATTCAGATTTGTGATCATACTCTTCTTCTTCACTGTGTTCATGTGTTAGAAGTCACCAAATTAAACCTGACTAAAAGATTTTTAATAAATGATACAGAAAAGTTGGGGGCAGAGTAGGGTGCAAAATATTTGTCAGGCAGCTCGTACTGCAGGTTCAGTTAGTTGTGCATGCTCCATAAACAGAGTGGAAAGGGCGCTGGGCTTGGCTGGGGACCCAAGTTCAGCCTCAGCTGGCCACACATTGCCTTGGTGGCTCGGGACGCTTGCTTCTCCCTTCTGCCCTCCGCAGTCAGAGACACTTGAAGAGGAGGACACTGCGCATGTAGCCTTCCCGCTTAGACCGCTGGTCTCTTCACACAGCGCCCATTTCACAGGTGGGACTGTCAACCCTCATCATTTGTGCATTCTGCGTTTGCAAATATGGCCTATTCAATAAAAATTGTAACTCTAATGTCAACACTGGGTCTGTATTTCATATAAGCTTTAAGTACTTTGGTCTGAATTCAAAACTTTCCATTTATTTCTCATGTGATTTTTGTAAGTTTCAAAGTGACCCTTTGAGGTCATCCACAGAGATGACCAAATATGAGAGTTGTCTAAATGCATGGTCTCAACTGACGCTGGACAAATGTGACACTGCCTTTTAGTTTCAACTTTGGTACTGGAAACAAGTGTCCCTTTCCAGTTCTGTTGAGTGCCACTTTTTTGTGCTTTTTTAAAATACTTTTCCTTGTTGATTGTGCTGTCTAAAATGGCCCTAAGTATAGTACCTAAGTGCTAGCCAGTATCCTTAAACACACACACACACACACACACACACACACACACACACACACACACTGATGTGCTGTGTGAAAAATTGTTTCATTCAGACATGAGTTAAACTCATGGCTCTAAGTTCAATATTAATGAATCAACACTGTATAGTAAATAAAGTGACTAAGAGGCACACTCAGAGCAAGGTTACATGCTGAAGGACAGGCATGTGTTCAGCTAACGCTAGCAAGAGCCCAATCCTACCTTTCCCTTGGAAACAATGGCTCAGAACTTTCTAATTCAGTGTTGATGCAGCTGTTCTCGAATATGCACAGCTTCAGAGAGGCTCAGCTGTGCTTAGGAAGGTCTTCCCACAGGAGCTGGCACACAATAATGGCTCAATAAATGGAAACCATGCTTTTTTTTTCTTACTAAGTTTACTGGTACAGTTTAGATATACATAATGATCATGTCCATTATAGGAGATTTGTACTTGTACATGATGCATACTGAACCTTCTCTTTCCCTCCAACCCCCTCTCCTCCCTTCAACCCCTCCTCCACTCCTTATTTACACAGATTTATTTCCATTTTATCCTTTTATCATGTTTCCCTTCCCCCCTTTCCCCCTCCCCCTTCCAAGCTCTCCTTTCTTTTAAGCAGTTTCTTGCTATTTTACAATACCCTTTATACACTTTGGTCCTTATTTACACTTTTATCTCACCCCGCAGAAATCATATGGTATTTACACATGCCTGTCAGATTTATTTCACTAGTCTCAAGGTGCATCCATCTACCTAGACTCATCTCCTGTTTATCCTTCTTTATGGATGAATAGTACTTCATTGTATTTTAAAAAAAAAAAAAAACAATTTGTATCCATTCCTCTGTTGATGGGCATTTGGGTTGTTCCCAAAATTTAGCTATTACAAATTGTGCTGCTGTATATGTGGGTGCACAAATATTGCTGTGGTAAGATGTTTTTAATTCTTCTGGGAAGATACCCAGAAGGGGAATAGCTGGGGTATTTTCCATTTTTATCACTGTCTGCCCTGGTACTAAGACAGTGGGGAGTATCGGGATGGGCTAAAGACTCAACTTTCTTGCCCTCCAGGAACAAATCTTGCAAATTCATTTGAAGGTACTGTCCCATACAGACTGAATCTGAATGTATCTTACTAAAAAAGCAAGAAAAGGGTAGACCAGAGACTAAAGAAAAACAAGTTTCTAAATTTAACTGGAGAAGGGCTGGCCAAATAGCTCAGTGGATTAAAGCAGGCACAGGGGCCGGGTGTTCGATCCCTGGGCCTGCCATACTGGGAAGCACTGAGATGGCAATTGAGGTTGGGCATGGTGGTGCGCGCCTGCAATCCCAGCTCTTTGGAGGCTGTAAACAAGCGGATCACTACAAGTCCGATTTAGTAGTGAGACCCTGAATACCCTGTAGGCCCTTCCCTAAAAAGTTTGAAATGAAGCAAGTATAAATAGGTATTCTAGGATACTTTCTTCATTTCAAAACTGTCTTAGTACCAGGGCAGGCAGTGATAAAAATGGAAAATACCCCAGCTATTCCCCTTCTGGGTATCTTCCCAGAAGAATTAAAAACATCTTACCACTGCAATATTTATGCACCCACGTATACAGCAGCAGTTTTACGTATACAGCAGCAGTTTGTAATAGCTAAATCTTGGAAACAACCCAAATGCCCATCAACAGAGGAATGGATATGAAATGGGTTTTTTTGATACAATGAAGTACTATTCATCCATAAAGAAGGATAAACATGAGACGAGTCTAAGTAGATGGAAGCACCTCAAGACTAGTGAAATAAATCCGACACGCATGTGTAAATATCACATGATTTCTGCGGGGTGAGATACCAAAAGTGTAAATAAGGACCAAATAAGGACAAAAAATAAACAAATAAAATAAAAAATAAATTTGACTAGAAAGAGTCCTAGAGTATACACCTTTTATGGTATATTCAAGACAGTCCATTAATGTCCAGGAAGAAAATTCTAGAATACCTATTTATACTTGTTTCATTTCAAAAGGTGAAAAAAGTAAACCTTACTAATATTTGGTGCTGGGTGCTCACAGTTCCCTCCCTTGGTCCAGATAAGGGAAGTCCAGGGTCCCTCATGATGGGCCTCACTCTTAACAGATAACAGTGCAGAGCGGGAGCTGCAGGCATTTCTCATGGTTCTGGATCTGGTGTACTTCCAAGAATTGCAATTTATAGGCTATAGGATAATGTCATTGTGATTCATTCTGTGTGTAATTCATTTAATAAAAACAGAACCTTGTGATGCTAGGGCCCTTATTTTACTTCTTGTGTGAATGGGCGATGGCCATCAGGATCTCTTGTACCACCCTGGCTACCTGGCTGCGATGCATGTGAGGGTGCCGTGGCCCTTGAGGACCAGTTGTGAGTATTAATCTTTGAGAAAGATGAGTGCTACAGGCTTGCTGTCATTTCCTGTCCTAGCAAGTGGCTATTGTGTGTCTTTTATTATTTAAAAAAGCCAGTATCTTTTATCATTTAAAAAAGTGAATTCTGTATAACCCATCCTTTCAAGGTAAAAGTACAATGTCACAACTAATGAATCAGTGAATTTCTTTTAAAAGAGACTTGAATCTATGGCAACAGTGTTTTGAAAACAGATGTTTGGAAATATTTCCATCTCAACTGGAAGCACATTACAAAAACAAAAACATCCCTAAAATCCAAGAAAATATCACCAAAAATCTTTACATATAAGCTAGATGGGACTGAGAAAAGAGCTGTGGAGTTCGTCCAGCTCAGAGGAGGAGGCATTTTGTTCATTTGGGTCTATGTATGGATGTGAAATATTTTCCAGTTGGACTTTGGACCAAACATTAAAATAAAGTGAACATAAAACCGGACACTTAATTGCTAGTTTACAAACAGGCAGCTCAAAATTATGGGAAAATAACAAAACATATTTAACATGCTGCTACTGGCAAAGGCATTACTATCTTAGAAACAAAAATGTTTTGCACTCTTAAAAAGACAAGTAAAAAATTTTAAA